GGAAAAATTGAAAGAAAAGGAAATTAAGGAGAGAAGGAGGGAGAGAAGGGAGGGAGGAATGAAGGAAGAATAGAAAGGAGGAAATGAGAAGGAAGGGAATAAGGAAGGGGAAGGAGGGAAGGAAGGAAGGAAAAATGGAAAGAAAAGGAAATTAAAGGGAAGGAGGGAAGAAAGGAGGGAGGGAGGGAAGAAGGAAGGAAGGAAAGAAGAAAGGAGGGAGGGAACAAAAATAGAGGAGGAAATGGAGGAAGGAAGAGAATAAGGGAAGAAAAGGAGGTATTAAAGGAAGGAGGGAATGAAAGAAGGAAGAGAGAAAGGGAAGAGGGAGGAAGAAAAGGGGAGGGAAATAATAGAAATATATATATATATATAGAAGGAAGGAAGGAAGGAAGGAAGGAAGGAAGGAAGGAAGGAAGGAAGGTCTGGAGGACTACTGGCGGAATCCCCTCCCTTCTTTTTCAACCGAATCCAACCAGGAGCGGAAAACCTACAATGAAACCCGGATTGGCTTTAGATGCCTTGAGAATGAAAGTCAGCCACACTCAAAGGATGCTCCCGTAACCATGGAGACCCACAGCGGCGGGATGTTGGTGGTGCTACAGAGCCAATGGATCTCCCCAGGGTTTGGGGAGCGGGGGGGGGGGGGAAGGGGGTGTCCCCCAGGTTGAGAAATCCTTCTTCCCTTGGACTGAGGGGCTGGTGATAGGACCAAGTCTCCAAGAGACAGAGAGAGAAAGAAAAAAGAAAGAGAGAGACAGAGACAGAGAGAGAGGAAGGAAGGAAAAGAGACGGAAGGAGAAAGAGAGAGAAAGGAAGACAAAATAGGAGGGAAGGGAGGGAAGGGATGAGAGAGGGAGGGTGGGGGCCTTTCCTTTCCTCCTTTCCTTCTCTTCCCTTTCCCCCTCCCCACTCCTTCCCTTCCCTGTTTATCTAGCTATTTCCTTCCTTCCTTCCCTCCCTCATCGGTTTATCTAGCTATTCCCTTCCTGCCTTCCCTCTTTCTTTTCTTCTCTCCTTCCCTCCCTCTCTCTCCCAGCCTTCCCTTGTGTCTGCCTGCCTGTCTGCCTATCTATCCAAACATCTATTTACCCATCCATCAACTCCCTTATCTATCACCTCACCCCACTGCCTCCACCTCTCTCTCTGATATATCTCTAAATCTTGACAGCTTTTACATGTGTGGATCAGCTCTCAGAATCCCCCAGGCATCAAAGGAGACACTGTTCTGGTCTATACTTAGTCCTCACTTTATGACCAAAGCTGCCTGGGGAATTCTGCCAGTCGAAATCTATACATACCTCTGACAGCTGTCAAGGTTGAGGGACACTGCTGTAAACTTTATTATCTATCATCTCTGTATCGATCACCGTCTGCCTGGCTGTCTATCCCTCCCTCCCTCCCTTCTTCCAGCTGGATAATTAATTCTCTTTGCTGATTCATACGCCGTCAGGTCAGAAAGCGTGGTTTTGCCAAAATAATAATAATAATAATAATAATAATAATAATAATAATAATAATAA